GTTTTTGTTTTTGTTTTTAGGTACTCGAGTTTGTGTAGAATGGTGCAGAAGCTAGTGAACATTCTGAAGCAGATGGATGCCAGAGATCCTTACAGAATTGAGATGACTGATGCGCTTCTTGAAAAGCTGTGAGTTTTAGAATTAGAATTCAGCTTACAACCATTTTTAATATGATGCAGCCTAACCTAATTATGGGTGAATTGTTTTGTTCTGGTCTATTAGTCTGTCTAGTTCATTATGTTGCTTGTGCATATAGCTTGTGGGTTACAGAACTACTTGACATAGTATCAGTTTGGGATGCTACCCTTCAATGTATAACCTGGGTTATGATGTTTGGAGATCAGTGCTTTACGACTACCTGATTGTGTTGGTAAATATTTGTACCAGAACTTTTTGGCTCTGTAGTGGCTAATTGGACACACACACCATTTATTTGAGGTGCTTTCTGATTGCCTATTTTTCAACATTATTTCATTTTATGTGCTCGACTGCATATTATTCATATTTTTAGGAATCTTGTGAATAGCTACGGTAATGAAGGTTTGTCATAAAGTGAAGCTCTTATTCGTTAATACTGTTTCCTAGACCATTTTTTCTTCCTTATTTTCTATGCTTGAGTTCTAATCTAGATAAGGCAACTCTTGGTTTTCTTGTCCTAGTCGTTATTGTTATCGATTAATTGCAATGTGAGAAAGGTACAAATTTGTATTTTATTTTCTTCTTTTTGTGGTCCATCAATTTAGGTACAACATGGGCGTTATACCATCTCGTAAAAGTTTGGCTTTGTGCGAGCGGTTGTCGGTATCAGCCTTCTGCCGGTAAGCGAGTTGTAAAGTTTTATTATGTTCATTTGTCTCTAATATTGCAAAACTCAAGGAATTTGTAGGGTGTACGGAACGTGGATCCAAGTATATGTGTTTTTATCATCACAGAAAGACCCAATGGAAAAGCAAATAAGTAAAACTATAAAGAAATAGTGTTTTTTTAATTTGTGTGTTTTATTATTTTCTTCAGGCGTAGGCTTGCCACTGTTTTGGTGCAGCTGAAGTTTGCAGAGCAC